AACAAATGGAATTGTGGAACGCAAGCCAGAGATTTTGAGAGACTCATATTGACAGATTTGGAACAGCAGCCAAAACCAACCAGTAGCTTTGGACCAATAACAGTGAACGCAGTAGGGGAATTGGACCCAACGGTGCCATGGTTGGAACGAGCACAGAAGTTGTATGATGTCACTAATCAGAATTTGAAAGTTTTGTGCGACGCAGGCGCGGCAGGGCCTTTCTATAATGTGTCTGGGTTCAGCTGCAAGCAGTTTTTACCTTTTGACGAATTCGCAAAGGCGTGGAATTACAGATGCGGTCTAGTATTTTGGGGAAGCCCCCATTGGGGAAGCGGAAATGATGAGACTACACAGGAGTGGAAGGACTCGGCGCAGTTCAAAACAAACGCATGGGAAAGTATGGCATGGCTAGCGGAGTCAGCGTGCATAATGATGGCGTTTCATGCATGCTACAAAGTGGAATTCTGGAATCCAAGCTATTCAAAAGCAGGCTCGGACGCAGACACGCGCGCAAAGCGACAGTTGGTGGTGGCACCAGCGTACTTTTGAAGCTACGCGCCCATAAAATCTGGCAACATATACAGTGAGATTAACTCGTACAGGAACATACCGGTGATGATCGCATTACTGGTGCCGGCTCGTTTCAAAGATCTGACTACCTACCACGACGGCATACAAATTGACGTGGGAATGACAATGTTCAAAATATATCAACATTTGCACTTGCAAGATGAACATGCAATAGAGCTTGGAGGTCAAACATTTGCATTATCAATGGAATTGCATTTGGCAAAGGAGGAACTGCTTGAAACGAAAAAAGCACAGCTGCGCATGGAAATGAATGATCCAGTTGCAATGAATGTGGACAGCTCATAATCGTTAGCGCTTGATTTGCGCGTAGAATAACACTCGCAATATCTCCTCCATCTCCTCTCCGATCTCTTCCTATGCTGGCTGCTCGCTAGCATTCCCAAGGTAGCTGCTAGCTACCACGTGCTTAGATTCCCAGCAGAGAAAACGCGTGTTCGCAGAAACAAAACAATGAAAATAACATAACATTTCTTTTGATCGTGCAGATTTCCACGCTTTCCGCCCTCTTCCGCCGTCTCCGCGGTGCTCATAGGATCTGTTGTAGATGCAGGCATTGCGGTTTCCCCCTTCTGTATTCCGCAGCAGAGGTAATTCTTGTGTATGTCATCACAAAAGGAATTCCTTTGTATTCCGCAACAAAAGAAATCCTTTTGAATTTCGCCACAAAAGGAATTCCTTTGTCTTCTGTCACGAGAATTCTTTTGTATCGTACCGCAAAAGGAATCCGTTCGTATTCCGCCACAAAGTTAATCCTTTCGTATTCAGCCACAAAGGAAATCCTTTTGTATTCCGCCACAAAAGGAATCCCTTTGTATTCCGCCACAAAGGGAATTCTTTTGTATTCAGCTACAACGGGAATTCTTTTGTATTCAGCCACAAAGGGAATCCTATTGTAATTAATATAGATGCTGTAAACATTGTGTTTTCACAGAGATTCAGAGAATTTCAATAAAAACAATGAAAAACAATTTGTTTCATTTGTGTTTTCACAGAGATTCAGAGATTTTTCATTGAAAATATTGTTTTTTCATTGCCAGGCACAGAGATCTCAGAGATTTTAATGATTTTCCAACTATGGAGGATAGTTTTTTATGAAATCTGTGTGAAAACACAATGTTTTCTTTGATTTTTGAATAGAAAACCAAAGAAAACCTTGTGTTTTCACAGAGATTTCATAACAAACTATCTTCCATAGTTGGAAAATCATTAAAATCTCTGAGATCTCTGTGCCTGGCAATGAAAAGACAATATTTTTGTTTTTATTAAAAATCTCTGAATCTCTGTGAAAACACAGATAAAACCAATTGTTTTTTAGTGTTTTCTTTAAAATTCTCTGAATCTCTGTGAAAACACAATGTTTCAATATCTATACGAATTACAATAGCATTCCTTTTGTAGCGGAATACAAAGGAATTCCTTTTGTGGTGGAATACAAAGGATTTCTTTTTGTAGTGGAATACAAATAGAATCTTTGGTAACGGAATGCAAAAGGATTTTCTTTTGTGGCAGAATACAAACGAATTGCCTTTGTGATGGAGTACTAAGGAATTCTCCAAGGAATTCCTCTTACAAATAAATGCATAGGGAGGGTGCCAAAAAAGCCGCCAGGCTTTTTTGGCCCCCTCTATGTCTTTCTGCCCGAGGTTTTTGGAATTGCCAGCAACTTGGCCAGCCGACTGGTCGCGCCCATCGCCTGGGGCGTGATTTGCGCGAATAAGTTGGTTCGGAATTTGTTGGCGACGGCCGGTCGGGGAGTCGCAGTCTGGGCTTGAGATCCCGAGCGCTTCGCCTTCGCCACCTTCTCGGGCGCAGGTGGAGTGGGATTCCGAGCCCGCCTGCGCGACCCCCGAGGACTCCCAGGAGACCCCGCCCAGGCAGCGTGGATGATCCTCGCTGCCGATTCGGATCGGTCTCGGAAGAGGGCGTCTCGAGTGTCTATCCTGGGGTGGAGGCCATGTCAGTTAAAGCGGAAGGTGCCTTGTACCTTAGCGGGAGAAGCGCTATCGCTGTCAGCAGCAGTAGCAGAGGTAGAATACATGCAGGTGTTATTTCGCGATGTTGTGCTTCATGATGATGATGTTCCTGACTGCAGGAGCCTCTGGTCCGTTTACCACTATCTTGAGATCGGAGCGGTACAAAGGAAATGGTCGGGAGACCCAGCTTCATGTAGTAGACGCTAAATCAGCGTATGACATGACGCACAAGGAGGGCAACGCCAGCTCCAAGGACAGGCGCACGGCGTTGGAGCTTGCTATTATATCACAGTCATGGGACAAAAATCAGAGGGGTCTTCCGGTGAGTAGCCCGCATTCGGATGATCGTAGATTCCATGACCCAAGGCGACACTAGCAAGTCCAATGCCGCCCTCCCCCAGCCCCTCGCGTCTGGTCGTCTAGCGTCGGTGGGCGAGCCTCGGGATATCGAGGCCCGGCGCAAGGCTCCTGAGCGAAAGGACCGCTCCCGCGCCGCCTCTCAGCGCTTGCTGGACTCGGACCCTGGTTCGACGAGCTGACCTAGGCCGTGCGGTGTCCGTCCGGCTTCATTACTTTTCTCGTTGTTCCTTTCTTTCTTCGTTCTCTCTCTGACTTGTCTCGGCTCGACGACGACGGCTGGACCTGCTAGAGAACTTGACGAGCGTGGAAACGCACTTCGTTTCGACGCTCATGTTCCTATAGGTTTAGCGTTCTGTATCACTTGTGCGTTACATTTGCACTTGCGTTCAGTCGAGATCGAGTTCCTGATGGTGATTGTTGCAATTCTACGTTGGCCCAAGCGCATAAAACCTCACCGCCATCAGTTCTGCTGCCACAAGGGGGGGTCTTTTTGGAAAAGGACCTAAAACCATAAACGATAAAGTTCACCACGCCAGGCACCCCTGTGATGAATCAACAGGGGGCGGCGGATCTACTGGCCGCAGGCCCAACCCGCCACCGTGTTTGCTTGGGTTTGTGCCAGGGGCGTCTCGGGCGCCAGTCGGGATTTCTTGGGGTGCCCCCCTGGAGCTTCTTGGGGGGCCTCCCTCTTGGAAGCAAGCTGTACGACTCAAGTTGATCCCAGTGGCGTCGGTCTTTCGTGACCAGGTTGTGGGTCAAAGGCTCTTGGGGTCTCTTGGGATGTTTCTTTGGGCCTCCTTGGGGTCTATTGGGGGCATCTGGGTGGGCCTTTTGTGGGCCTCTGGGGGGCCTCCTGGCGTTTTCCTGGAGCGCATTGGGGCCCTCGCGGGCCTTCTCGAGAGGTCCGCGGCGGTCTCGGAAGGCCATTTCGTTTCAACATGACTCCAGGGCACAACCGTGGTAACACCCTTCGGGTCTAAGCCTTTTTGAGGAGGATGTCTTGAGCGAAGCTGCCAGTTTGTAGCTTCTGAATAATCGCCCGGGGAACCCCATGAGCGCGCGGGAATGCCAATGGGCGCCCCGACGTCGGGGCTTCGGGCCACGCAAACAGCGTTCTATGTTCTATACAGGCTGCCTGTAGCTGGCACGCCGCCCGGCCGTGGCGGCCGCTTTCCGCTGCTGACTCGAGGCTATGTTTAGGAAATCCAGCGTTCGCTAGGGACTGGTTTCCTTTCCAAACAGCCGAAGCCCTCCCGAAACCCTGCGAAAACTCTCCGGGAGGGGCTCTTGGAGGCTCTTCGGAGAGTTTCGGGAGGGTCTTGGAAGGGTTTCCGTCGTCCTCGGGGGGCGCCAGTCCCTAGCGAACCCTGGGCTTTTTAAGGCTATGTGCCACTGGCGCGCCCGTAGCGGCAAGGCCACGGGTGCTTCGGCCAGCGCGCCCGCCTCTGCTGCACCCGGCACCTGAGGACACTCCACTTCGTGCTTCGGGGCGCGGTTAAGTCGGGCATGAGCCCTTACAGGAAGAAAATTCAAACAGAACTAAAAGATGTGATGGGCACTATTTTTGATTATGGTTGTATATTTTACCACACTTTTTACATACTTCTGATACTTCGTTAAAAAGCCCCCTGTAGAAGGACGTGCCCGACCTAACCTCAGAAAAAGGCGGCAGCGGGCTTCTCGGAAGGTATCGGGGGCTCATGTAAAGACCCTCGTGGTAGGACGACTTCGAAAACGCACCCTGCTTGTAGAAGGCCGCCCCCCCCCATCCTTGGCGCGCCCCCTTCTGTGCGCGCCGCGGAAAAGTGTGTGCCCGTTGGGCCACGTGGGCCTGGGGCCAGGGTCCACGGCTCGCTCCAGACTTAAGTCGGGCCTGTCCCTCTACAGGAGGAATCTTCAAATCTAGTCAAACAAAATAGTCAAGGGATGATTTGTCGACTCTTCTTGCATATTGTTGAATGTGTTTTGAGTATTTTTGATTTTTCGTCCAAACTCCGCTTGTAAGAGGACATGCCCGACCGAACTCCAGACGGCCGGGGGGTGGCGACTGGGGCGCCGCCTCGATCGGTCACCCAGCGCTCCCCGTCTGGGGCTCCCTCATGCAGTTCTACAGCCCCCGGGAGCTGATGACGTTCGGCTGCGTGCTGTGGGGCCTGGCCACGCTGCTGCTGGCTGCGGCCTCGAGCTACGAGGTGCACCTCGCCTTGCGTCTGGTGGCTGGGGCAGCCTTGGCGAGCGTTGCACCCGTCGGACGTCCACGGCCAGAACAGGTCCAGATCCACCGCGTCGGGGTCGTTCCCACCCAGACCCAGAGATCTAACGTTTTGAGAAAGTCAAGCCGAATGGTTTTCGCCGTAGGAGCCCTCGTCTGGCCCCGTGACAATCAAAAACGCCGAGTCTGGATGGAACGCTGGTCCTGGGGAGTGGGTCCAGACCTCAGGGGACCCCGTCTTGAAAACAAGCAGGACATCAGCTTCCTAAAACATATGGGGCGTTCCAAGCAGGGCCTTACCTTCGAGGATCGAAGGAGTTGTCGTCTCTTCCGCGGCGGAAGGCGGCGGAACGGCGGCGGCAGGTCGGCTGAAGTAGAGCGAGGCCGCCCCCGCTGGCGGAAGCCTGCGGAAGCTCGGCCGAAGGCGGCGGAAGTAAAGCATGAGGACCCAAGAGATGAACACGTTCTTGGGTTCAGGGTCTCCGACGTCGCCCATCTGGAACATGTGGGGAAACGAAGGGGAAGACGGGCATCCAGAAAACTGTGCAGCACCGAGTGGAAGTCCTGGAGCTCGTGTCTGGTCCTCCCTGCGTCTCCCCAGGCCCCTTGAACGTCGCATCTCTTGGGGGCCGCGCCGGGGTCGTGGCCCGGGGGAAGAGGAGAAGGAGGAGGAGGAGGAGGAGAAGGAGGAGGAGGAGAAGGAGGAGGAAGAGAAGGAGGAGGAGGAGGAGGAGGAGGAGGGGGAGGAGGAGGAGGAGGAGGAGGAGGAGGAGGAGGAGGAGGAGGAGGAGGAGGAGGAGGAGGAGGAGGAGGAGGCTCGAGGGGAGTCGTGGCTGTGGGTGCCTGTGCCTGCCCGCCCCCCCAGGCGGGCGGGCGGGCCCCTGTGCAACCGCGCCCCCCCCCGCTCCCAGGCCTTCCCCTGGGGCCAGGCCTCGAGAGGCCGTGTCGGGAGCCTTGAGACTCTAGAGGCCTCCTACCCAGAGATCCAACGGTTTGAAAAGAAACAAGACGGAGGTTTCTCTCAAGGCCCCTCCTAGGCCCGCGTCTTGGAGTGTGCCCAGGAACCCAGAGACCCAACGCATTGAACAAATCAAGACGGAGTTTTTTCGCAATTTTCGGTCTCTAGGGGCCCTCGCCAGGCCCCGGGACCGTCAAAAAATGACTCAGGATGAAAAACCGGTCCTGGGGAATGGATGGAGACTTCGGGTGATCTCGTATTGAAAACAAACACGACATCGGGTCTCTGGGTAGATTGGGTCCGAGTAGATGGGGTCGGAGGATCGCGCCGCATCGCCGATGCATCGCCGATGCGGTTCGATGTGGAGCCCGATTTTCTGTACGCTGGCGTCGCCGATGCATTGCGGATGTCGCCGATGCATCGCCAATGCATCGGCGATGTATCGCCGATGTATTGGCGATGCGGCGCGATCCTTCGACCCCATCTGCTCCGACCTCATCTAGGAGGCCTCTAGAGACGGGGGTCAATGCAAACGGGGGACAGCCAGAGCGCCCGATCTTGCCAGATCCTGCAGGGCCAGGGTCGCAGTGACCCGGGCTTGGGCGCAGGAACCTGCAGGATCCTTTGCATTGGCCCGGGCTTGGGTGCAGGATCCTGCAGGATCTTGCAGGATCCTGCAAGACCTGGCTGGCCCTGGTCTGGACTGACCCGTGGCAGCAGATCCCCGACCGTGGATGTGCGGATGCTCTTATCGCGGTGCGGGGCGCCCCAGGCCTCCCAGGTGGGGTGGCGCCGCATCGCCGATGCGTCGGGGATACGGCTCGCCGCGGAGCCCAGTTTTTTTTTGTCCTCCACGCCGACATCGCCGATGCACCGCCGACGCGTCGCCGACGCATCGCCGATGCATCGGCGATGCATCGGCGATGCGGCGCGATCCTCTGGCCCGATCTGCTCGGACCCCTTCTGGGAGGCCCCCAAGGACAGGCTCTCATCTGCGACGTCGTCCCCGAGGAGGGGCGCGGCTGGGCGTTTGGGCTCCTGCAGTCCGTGTCCAGCGCGCTGACCATGGTGGTGTCCTTCTGGACGACGTCGATCGCGACCTCCACCGTCCTCGGGCTGCAGGGCTGGAGGGTCCCGCACCTGCTGGTTGCTGTCCTGTCGTTCCTGACCGGGGCCGCCGTCTGGCAGGTGGTGCCTCAGGTCGCCCCGGTCAAGGCGCAGCGTTCGTGGCTCGCCGAGCAGCGGAGGGTCGTGTCCGCCGTGGTGCGGAAGCCGTCCTTCGTGATCATGGTGTCGCAGGGCGTCACGGGAAGCATACCGTGGAACGCCTTCGCCTTCCTCACCTTCTTTTGGCAGGTGAGCGGTTACAGCGACATGGAGGCTGGGGAGATCAGCCTGATGATGGGCCTCGGGGGAGTGGTGGGGGGCATGCTGGGCGGTTGGCTCGGAGACTCCTGCGCCCGCATCTCTCCCTACTCTGGGAGGTGCGCGGTGGCACAGGCCTCCGTTCTCCTGGGCACCATCAGTTTCCTGGGCCTCGTGCACGTTCCGCAAGGCCGCTACAGCTTCTCCCTCGTCTCGGCGCTCAGCTTCACCTTCGGGGCCGTGGCCAGCTGGACCCCGGCGGCCGCGCTGCGGCCGATCTCCGGAGCGCTCTTCGAGGACAGCCAGGACAGGGCTCAGGTGCTTGCCCTGTGGATCGCCGTGGAGGGCGTCGTCGCGTCCATCTGCGGCGCGCCCCTGGTGGGGCTGCTCTCCGAGGCATTCGGCTTCAAGCTCTCGCACGGGCACGGTGCGAGCGCACAGCTTCCAGAGGACAGGGCCGGGAGCCTGCGGGCCCTGCGGGCGGCACTGGTGGGCACCAGCGTGGTGCCCTGGACCCTGTGCTTCCTGGCCTGGGTGCCCATGTACTGGACCCCGGCAGGCGCCAAACCCTACCCCACCACCCCCTGGATTCTACGGGGGGAGGCGGGGTTCGCTTCGCTCGGGACCTCCCGAGCAAGGTGAACCCCACCTCCCAGGCCCCCCCCCCCCGCCGCCTACCTCTCCTCCTTGCCCTCCTCCTCCTCCTCCTCCTCCTCCTCCTCCTCCTCCTGCTCCTGGTGCCTGGTTCCTGTCGGCCTGAGGATTCGGTGACCGCGGCCTCCCTCCTCCTCCTCCTCCTCCTCCCTCCTCCTCCTCCTCCTCCTCCTCCTCCTCCTCCTCCTCCTCCTCCTCCTCCTCCTCCTCCTCCTCCTCCCCCTCAGAAGTCGTTGGGGTGGCGGGGCAGGGCTCGAATGTGGCCTCCTGCGCTATCCGCCGACGCCGGTGCTGGGCGGGCCCGCCCGGGGGGCTCCGGGATCGGGGCGCACGCGCCTGGCCTGGCCTGGAGCTCGGCAGCGCTCGGACGTGTGCATTTCTGATGGGCTTGTTTTCCACCACCACCACCATAAGTTGGAGGGGGAGGGGGTCCTCCTCCTCCTCCTCCTCCTCCTCCTCCTCCTCCTCCTCCTCCTCCATCTCCTCCTCTTCCTCGTTCTCCTCCTCGTCCTCCTCCTCCTCCTTCACCTCCTTCCCCCCTCCAACTTCTGGTGGTGGTGGTGGGGAAAAACAGGCTTATCAATGTCTTCTCGGCAAGGATTACGTCGGGCACGTTCCCTCTAGAGGAAGGGATTTGCAATAATGGTAAAGAAATGTTATGGTGACGATTTCCCGTGTCTTTTCACCTTTTTTGGGGGGTGAATTGTTTTTACATGTTTCTTTCGAGGTCTCTTGTAGGAGGACATGCCCGACCTAAGGTAAGGACTACCGAGGAGCATGTGAGGCCATCCTGCGACACGTGCACGCGCGAAAGCCGAAGGATGCGCGGGGAGTGCACGTCCGAGCGCTGGCGACGGGAAGGCGTGCGCGCCCATCCCGGGCCGAGGGCTCTGGCTCTCAGCCAGGAGCGGCGTCGGTGGAGGGCGGGGGTGCCCTGCGAGGACCTACCCGAGGGACCACCAGCGGAACCCGGCCGCGCAGCAGCGGCGGCGAGCACGAGCGGATGGGGGGCGGAGGGGGCGGCCTTCTTCTCTCGGCACCGGTCGGGCGTCGGCCCCGCCATGCAACAGGGCGCGGAAGCTCTCCCGACTGTGCACCACCTGTCCGTTGCTCATCGCCTGCCCCTGCCCCACCTGTCCGGCCCCCAAAGATCTCCGGGGGCCCCCCCTCCTCGTCGTCCTCCTCCTCCTCCAAAAGACAAACTGTGCACCACCTGTCCGGCCCCGCCGCCCCGGCCAAACGCCAGGGGGAAGGGGGGGGGGTTAAACGCCGAGCGCGGGCAAGGACGCCTGACGATTAAGGGGGGATGCCCCGGAAGGGGGGGGGAGGGGGAGGAGGAGCATTTGCCTCGGCGGGGGCCATCGAGGAGCATCCTGGACCTCCTTGCGCATTGTGGCCGCGCGCGGCGTCGGACGGAGCCGGTTCGGACCCCTCAGTTACACTCAGTTCCCCTCGGTTATACTCAGTTCCCTTCAGTTACATTCAGTTTCCCTCAGTTGCACTCAGTTTCCCTCAGTTACACTCATTTTCTCTCAGTTGCATTCAGTTTCCCTCAATTACATTCAGTTTCCTTCAGTTACATTCAGTTTCCCTCGGTTACATTCAGTTTCCCTCAGTTGCGCTCAGTTTCCTCTCGGTTGCATTTAGCTTTCCTGGCACTACGTTTGCGGCTTGGTGTCCTACAGCTGCAGCCTCTTTCTGACGCAAGGAACTGAGACGAAACTGAAGGAAAACTGCGGGGGACAGCGGCGCCCCTTTGTCAACACCTCCCTTCGCCCCCTCCTATCTCATCTTCTTCCGCCACCCTTCCTCGCTGCTCTGCCTCCCTCATGTTCCTTCTTCCCCCCTCCCTTATCCTTGTCCTGTTCCTGTTGTTGTTGCTCCTCCTCCTCCCCTCGTGCTTCGGGGCGTCAGGCTTTCCGGGGTTGCGTCCTCATGATGATGATGATGATGATGATGATGATGATGATGATGATGATGATGATGATGATGATGATGATGATGATGATGATGATGATGCGTATGACGATGAGGAGAGGACGATGATTGTGACGGACAGCGGGGATGAACAACATGATGGGTTGAGGACAGCGAGGAGGAGGAGGAGGAGGAGGAAGAGGAGGAGGAGGAGGAGGAGGAGGAGGAGGAGGATGGTGGTGGTGGTGATGGTGAGGGGGATATGATGAGGAGGAGGCGTGTGGCGCCGCCGGTTCTGGCTCACCACGCTGCGGCGCCGCATGCTAAGCACGATCCGGTCCCACAGCGCACAGCGTCATTTCCTCGAGCTCCTGCCAGCCTCCCGCCCCGCGGAGCGGAGCGACACGCTATCAGCTCGCCAAGGCATAGCGTGCCTCCAGGGGCGCCGCTGCGACACGCTCAGCAAAAGTCCCTGGCCGTAGGCTTCCTGGCGGTTGTGGGCCTTGGCTGGGACTGCCAGCGCGTCCTTGTCGCCACGAGGCCAGGTTTTCCAGAAAAGTATTCGGCAGACTGCAAGCGCCACGTGGGGCGTTTCAGAAAGGGCCTTGCCTTCAAGGGTCGAAGGAGTTGTCATCTCTTCCTCGGCGGAAGGCAGCGGAAGGGCGGCGGAAGGTCGTCGGAAGTAGAAGATGTCCCCCCAAGGGATGAAAATCATTTTGGGTTCAAGGTCTCCGAGACCGCCCGCATGAGGGGTCCGAGGGGCCGACAGGAACGGGAGGGGCCCAGATTTCCAGGCGCCGTCGAGGCATCATCGTGGGCGCCAGAGAGGGACTACAGGGCGGCAGTCGTCCGGGATTGCGTTTCACATAGCTTAAAGTTATGGGAAACGCTATTGTGGCTCATTGAGTGCGGTTTTTGAAGGAAAATTGCGTTTCCCATCACTCGCGAGGTGTAGGGCCTCGTCCAGGGAGGTTCTTTGCTGGCGTTTTCGTGGCTTCCCTGGGGTTTTGCCAGCTTCTGGATGCTCAGCCGCAGCCGCGCCTCGCCAGGAGCGGCCCCCTAGGTGTGCCCGGATCGTCCCGTGAGAGGCCGCCGGAGACCGGGTGTGGCGTCCTGAAGACACCAGGCGCCCGACAGGGGGTCAGGACTGTGACTTCTTATTCTTCTTCTTATTCTTCTTATTGTTCCTCTTCCTCTTCCTCTTCTTCTTTTCGTTTTCGTCTTATTCCTCTTCCTCTGCTTCTTATTATTATTTCCCTTTATAATTACCTTCTTATTATTTTCTCATTCGTATTGTTCGCCCTCTTCGTTATAACACTCATGGTTAACAGTGTTTCTTGTTATGTTGTATGTGGTATTGTTTTCTTGTTCTCATGATTGCTCGTCGCATTCGTATTTGTACTCGCATTCGCATTCGCATTCCTATTCGTAACATATGTATTCCTCTATACGTATTATCTGTAGTTGTGATGTCTATGATCATGAGATCATGAGTATAATAATCTGTTTCGTATAATTCGTATCATTCTTATCACTCTTATCATTATGATTGACATTATTATTATTAGTATCCTTTTTTTTTATTCTTCTGCTTCTTTGTTCAACACGCTCCAAGGCCCCTGCTCGTCCGCGCCCCATGCTTTTGGCCCCAGTGCGCACCACCCCCTCTTCCTGGCCCCCCTGGGTCCGAGCAGATGGGGTTGGAGGATCGCGCCGCATCGTCGATGCATCGGCGATGCGGCCCGATGTGGAGCTCGATTTTCTCCGCGCTGGCGTCGTCGATGCATCGCCGATGTCGCCGATGCATCGGCGATGCATCGCCGATGTATCGCCGATGTGTCGGCGAGGTTGTCTTGAAAAATGTAACCAGGATCGAGGACCGAGGATAGGATTGATGACCGAGGCGAGGATCGAGGACCGAGGTTCCAGGTTCGAATGCCTGCACTCCGATTCAGACTGATTGCGTCATGCCTTAACTCGGGTAGCTGAGGGAAACTGAGGGTAACTAGGTGTAACTAGGTGTAACTAGGTGTAACTGGGCGTAACTAGGTGTAAGTAGGTGTAACTAGGTGCACCTAGGTGTAACTGGGCGTAACTAGGTGTAACTAGGTGTAACTAGGTGTAACTAGGTGTAACTAGGTGTAGCTGGGTGTAACTGGGTGTAACTAGGTGTATCCGGAAGCGCTCTCATGGCGTTTGCTGCGACGCTCGTTGCCGGGACACTGTCCTTGCGAACCAGAAAGGCGCGCGCGAACCCATCGAGGAGTGCACGGAGAATGGTCGTTTCTGAGCGGTGGCGTGGCGCGAGAACGCCGGGGAGGTCGGCGTTCTCGGGCTGGGAGCCAGGTGCGACGTCAGGGGGGACAGGCCCGGCGGGGGGGGATGCATCGGCCCCCAATCGCCCACGCATTGCCGATATGTTCGGGAGGGGAAACACACAGACACAAGTGGTCGTCGATTCCCCAGAAAATAGGGGGAAATATGGGAAGTTGGGGGGAAGACGAATATCCAGAAGATATAGAAAAATTTGGGGGATCCTGTGATTTGTGTATTTGTTTCTTTTTGTGCGTCCCAGGGCCCCTTCATACAGGGGCCTCGATAGCCCACCCCCGCCCAGGACCGTGCGGTTATCGGGGGCCTGTCGCCGATCTATCGGCGATCTGTCGCTCCAGTCGGGCGGCGCATGAAGAAGCCATTTTCAGGAGGGGAAGAGACACACAGACACAATTAATCGTCGATCCCCAGGAAAATATAGGAAAATATGGGAAGTGGGGGGGAAGACGAAAACCCAGAAAATATAAGAAAATATAGGGAATCTTTTTATTTGTGTGTATTTATTTGTGTGTTTGTGGGCCCCTTCACATTTGCCCTTCGTCAGGGTGCCCTTGGCTTCTTCGCTCCGCGGCAGTCTCAGTAGCTGCTGCGTTCGGGGCGCTCCGGGGTTCCCTTCAGGTGCACCTCGCGCGCGGGGCTTTTCAGGGTTGGGTTTCTTGGGAGGGTTTCTTGCGACCGCGCCCGCACTGAAATCGTCGATTCCCCAGAACATAGGGGAAAATTTGGGAAGTGGGTGGGAAGACGAAAATCCAGAAAGTATGAAAAATATAGGGGAATCCTGTTCAGGCGACAGCGCCCGCACTGTATCACTGTACTCGGACCGCGCCCGCACTGTATCAGGCTGCTCAGAGGACGGGGCCGCCTCTCAGAATGCCTCCCCTCCTCGCCCTGCCTCCTCGTGCGGGCCGCCAGCGCGGGGAGAGGAGAGGCATGCACCGCCACCAGGCCTCCGCATGGCCCATCCTAGGCCCGCGTCTTGGAGTGTGCGCAGGGGCCCAGAGATCCAACGCATGGAACAAATCAAGACGGAGGTTTTTCGCAAGTTTCGGCCTCCGGGGGCCCTCGCCAGGCCCCGTCACCACACGATTCAGGAGGAAAAGCCGATCCTGGGGAGAATGGGTCGAGACTTCGGGGGACCGCGCATCGAACAAAATCACGACATCGGATCTCTGGGAATCCGATGTCCAGTGTTTTTTCAATGCGGGGTCCCCAGAAGTCTCGACCCCCTCCCCAGGGCCGGTTTCTCACCCCGGGTCGTCGTGTTCGCGGTCCTGCAGGGCTTGGCGAGGGCCCCCAGATCGATCACGCAGAGACAATTGCGTCTTTTGGCATCTCTCGGATGTGCGCATTTTGTCCCGGCGAGGACCATCGATGAGCCTCTTGGACCACCTTGCAAAACACACGAGACCGAAGAGGGCACGGGGAACGGACGTCCGAGCGATGGCGAGGTCTTTTTGTCTCCGTTGCGTCGGATCTCTGGGTGCATCGCCCCCGGACCAGGCCGGGAGTCTCATCCTACGCCAGGGTGGAGCCTCGTCCACGGGGAGCTGGGCACAGGCGCCCCCGCCCCCCACCCTCGAGATGTGCGGCCCTGGCCATGGCCGGGGCAGGCCTATCCTCCGAGTGCAGTCGAGCATCTGGTCACGGTCGGACCGAGGGTAATCTGATGTTCTTCGTGTCTGTTGGCTGCTCGTGTGCATCCTGGGGAAGGGTACCGTTGGATGTTCTGGGCGTTTTGGCCGGCGGAGGGTCTCATATTCTCGAAGGATGTTTTTCTGTCTTAGGTCTGGCCGTAAGAACGCCCCATTCCTCAAGAAATGGGCCAACCAGGACACAGATAAACTAGGACACGGAAAACCAAGGAAACGACATCCTTTCCTGCAAAGTCACAGTCACGTTTTTCAGCACCCGTGCATGTTTTGCTTGCTGCACTGCAGGATT